ACATGTCCCGAGGAGCCTGCAATCAAGGTATGTCCCTTTGACCTAGCTCGAACCTGGGACACTTCTGGTCTGAGAGTCAAGGGCCGAGGGCTGAGGGCCAATGCTCTCTCCACAGTCAAACCAGCTAGGGCTTGCGGGGATCAATTTTATAAAAAATTCCTCATGCTCTAGTCTTATTACTCCAAAAGTGGTCTGGTTTCAGTAGCATCAAAATAACCTGGAAGTTTGCTAGAAACTCCTAGAAACAGTGAACCTCAGTCCCATCAAGGCATACATTCTTTTTTTTTTTTTTTTTTTAATAAATCTTTATTGTTCAGATTATTACAGGTGTTCCTCTCACCTCTCATACCTCCCCTCCATCTGATTCCCCACCCCATGCCCTTACCCCCCACCACTGTCTTCATCCATAGGTATGACTTTTGTAAATCTCTTCCCATACTCCTAAAACCTTCTTCCCCTTGAGAATTGTCAGTCCACTCCCTTTCTATGTCCCTGATTGCATTATATTCACCAGTCCAGTCTGCTCTTTAGACTTAATTTTCACTTGATTTTTAGATTCATTTGTTGGTAGGTATGTATTTCATGTCTTTTTGTTGTTCATAATTTTTATCTTTACCTTTTTCTTCTTCCTCTTCTTAAAGAATACCCTTCAGCATTTCATGTAATCCTGGTTTGGTGGTGATGAACTCCTTTAGCTTTTTCTTGTCTGTGAAGCTCTTTATTTGACCTTCAATTCTGAATGATAGCTTTGTTGGGTAGAGTAATCTTGGTTGTAGGTTCTTGCTGTTCATTACTTTGAATATTTCTTGCCACTCCCTTCTGGCCTGCATAGTTTCTGTTGAGAAATCAGCTGACAGTTTTATGGGTACTCCCTTTAGGTAACTAACTTTTTCTCTTGGTGCTTTCAAGATTCTCTCTTTGTCTTTTGCCCTTGGCATTTTAATTATGATGTGTCTTAGTGTGGTCCTCTTTGGATTCCTCTTGTTTGGGGTTCTGTGTGCTTCCTGGATTTGTAAGTCTATTTCTTTCACCAGGTAGGGAAAGTTTTCTGTCATTATTTCTTCTAATTGGTTTTCAATATTTTACTCTCTCTCTCCTTCTGGCACTCCAAAAATTCAGATGTTGGTATGCTTAAAGTTGTCCCAGAGGTTCCTTACACTATCTTCAGATTTTTGGATCCCTTTTTTGTTTTTGTTTTAATGGTTGGTGTTTTTTGTTTCCTTATATTTCAGACCTTTGGTTTGATTCTTGGGGTATGTTGATCTACAGTTGAGTTTCTGTATATTCTTTATTTCAGACACTGTATGCTTAATTTCTGACTGGTTCTTCTTAATTTTTTTTTTGGCATTCTCATTAAGGTCCTTGAAGGTCTTGTCAAGTTTCTCAGCGGTTTTAAGAAGATTCTTGAGTAACCTTATGTGATTTTGAACTCTATGTCATCCTATAGTTTGCTTTCCTTCATTTTTTTCATTGGTGATATGTTTCTTTGTCTTTGCATTTTGGCTGCTTTCCTGTGTTGATGGAGTGGCTTTGTGTGGTAGGTGACCTATAGGGGCCAGTAGCTCAGCCTCCCCAATCACCTGAGGTTGACACTCTTGGTACACCCCTATGTGGCTGAGTGCAAAGTCTTGGTGTAGTTAAGCCTTGATTGCTGTTGGTACACTGGGAGGAATTGTCCTCTAGTTCAATTGGTTGTGGAGACCTGCTGTGTTTATAATGGAAGACCTGCTGCCCCGGAGACACACTTATGGGGCAGGACTTGTTTCAGTGGGTCTTTGGTGCTCACTGAGTCTGCCTCTTGAATGTGACGCTTATGGATGTGAGGAGTTGAAGTCTGGTGTCTCACACTGACCACTAGGTACACTGGCTTCTGGATCTCCAATGGGGTGCTCAGCTACTGTCTGAGGCCACCCTGCAGGAGCTACAGTGAGAACTACAGTTTTCTCCTCTTTGCTTGGGATTTGGAGGTTTTGGAGCTGTCTGAACCGTGTTGCAAGTTTGCTAGGTTAAGCTGAGATCAGGAAGGCCATTCATATGCAAAAGCCACTGTGTGGAGCTTGGGTGTGTTTGTAGATTGTGTGGGGTGGGGTCTCAGGGCATCACTAGGCTAGGGGATGGCAAACAGCCATGGCTGGCAGCCAGCCATCCCTGTGCCTCTGACCGCGTCCCCTTATCTCACACCCCAGGGCTGCTAGCAATTATTCCTGGGCACAGCTCTGTAAGCAAGCCACCCTCACTTTCCAGCCCGATGGCAGACAGTCCAGCTTCTCTCCATAGGAGTTTGGGTCCCATGCATCTGTCCAGAAACTGAATTTCAGAGAAATCAGGAGCTTGTCTCCCTTCAGGTCGAAGGAAGCAATGCCCACGGCCAGCCTGGATTGCATGGCCTTGCCCCGTACCTCAGCTTTTCAGCATTTGTGCACTGAATGCTTTTTTCTCTTTCCTCCTGGTTATAGAACTTCCACTCAGCCAGCCCTCCCATGGCTCTGGGTTATAGACATTTTGCCTTTTAGTTGTAGTTTTGAAATTGTTGTGCAAGGCAGCAGTTTAGGTGTTTACCTATGTCGCCATCTTAGGTTCTCCCCAAGGCATACATTCTTTATTGTAGAACCACCAGGAGGTCTTGAATTTTCCTCTCATCTGTTTCAGCTTGACATCTTATGGAAAGAGCCCCTTTCTTTTTGCTATCCTTAAGGAATACTCCTCTACCTCCTATTCACAGAGAGCTCCGAATAAAGTTTCTATATTTGCTAGCCTATATTGCCCTCAAACAGGTATCAGGTGAGTGCCAAACTTTGTTAGAAGGATGCAGGTAGGAAAGCTCACTGCTCTTCAAGACTTCACTTGTGAAGTTCACCTGTGGTTGCCGTTCCAGTTCCAAATGTGCTATTGGGATGGACATACTTGGCAGTTGGAGTAAGCCCCTTGTGGGATTCTTGCCTGTGGAGTAAGGGCTATCACGTGGAATAGGCCAGATGGAAACCCGACACTGCCCTTCCACACACCTGCTCTCACCCTCTGCAACCAAGATGATGCAGCAAAGACCATATCGCCGCCTGGCCATTGACAGTGGACATCAGTCCACTCCTAAAAATCTAAAGGGTGCAGGGGTGGCTGTTCCCATCATCTCTCTTCTTCATTAGTTGACTACTGTTTCCTCGCTGCTTCATCTTTTACAGGAATCCCCCTATTGATCTCTCGCATTTCTGTCTTGCTGTTAGATCTACCTTGGGACTCTACTTCCCTTATATAACTTTCTCCCTTATTATAAAAACCAAATGTTTAGGTAATGAAGAGTTGAGTGTATTGAAGAATAAGTTCTTAATTTTCTGTTATTTTATACTTGGAAAACAAACACAGGCATGGGTTTTCTGCTTCCTTCCTTGAGCACCTGTAACAGCTCCAGTAAGAGGCCACAAAGGTGCTCACACAGTTATCTTGTTCCCTGGAAGCAAACCGCACAGCCTTTCCCTCAGCCAGCTTTGGAAATCAGTCTCAGCATTATCCAGCCAGGGTCCAGAGTCAGTTATAATTTTAGGAGTAAAAAGTATTAATAGTAATGAGATCTTATAGCATTTAAATATAATATAATATAATATAATATAATATAATATAATATAAATATAATATAAATATAATATATATATATATATATATATATATATATATATATATATATATATTAGTGTGTGTGTGTGTGTTTCTTTTCTTTTCTTTTTTTTTTTTCCAGAGAAGAAGGGAGAAAGATAGAGAGTTAGAAACAATGATAAGAGAGAAATATAGATCAGCTGCCTCCTGCACCCTCCCCCTGGACTGGGGATGTGCCCGCAACCAAGATACATGCCCTTGACCGAAATTGAACCTGGGACCCTTTAGTCCGCAGACCAATGATGCTCTATCCACTGAGCCAAACCAATTAGGGCCTTATAGCATTTTTGTAACATTTTTATTTATAACAAATTCAGAAAGGAAGCATTTTACAATTCATTTCCCTCCCAACATCCTTCTCAGTTTTCATAAAATTGCCATAAGAAAATTACCTTCTTATGCAACAAAGAAAAGAAAGCTTAATAACTATTAGGAAGGCAATAGCAAGACAATAGGAAGTCTATACTGCAATTCAAATGTCTCCCAGGTCAGTCCATTGAATGTCTCACGGAACCAGGCTCCAGGTTTCCTCGTGTCTGGTTAGAAGCATGTGTGTGTGTGTGTGTGATAAGCTTGATGGTGAGAAAAGAATGTTTGGTTCAAAGTTAATTTCTTACCTGCCAGGTAAGGCACTTGCCAGGGTGACGCAACCGGGATAGACAAAGTCTCCTGATGGCGCACAGGGCTTTGGCTCCTGGTGCTGTTCCGGTGCCTCTGGAGAGGGTTTTTGCTGTGCTCCTTGCTCCCTGACCCATGTCCTCAGGAGCATGATTAACTGAGTCCTCGTCCCCCCGGAGGTCTGGATTATTCATTCACTTTTTAACATTTACTGTCTCCTTATTTTTCCCCCCAAATGACTATGATTTTACCACCCCAACTCTTACTATTCTTTGAAAAAGCAGAACAAACACTTTGCTAGTAAAAAAAATATTTGGTTTACATCATCTTTTATTTTATTATAGTCCATAAATATATATCAAAGGAATCATTATAGATTTCATATTTTAAGGCATGAAGTCTCCAAAGTTAAGGAACCTACTGTACATTGCTCTCTCATTTCAAACATTAAAACATGAGAAGTAAAACTGCCAACATAATATTCAACTTAAACAATAAATTTAGCGGAATAAATTAAGTATATTCTGGAGGTTCAAGTAAGGAATTAACAGGCTAGAAGCTGAACTAATAATCTTGACATGGTTTGAGGATGACTTGGTTTATTCTTTCTACTCATCGACCAATCTATATGGACTGCAAATGCTACCTTTAGGGAGTACAGAGAGCTGTTAAGAAGACACTTCCATTCCTTCTCTGTAACTCAGGACATTTATCTCCTTTGAAACACTAATCTTTCATGTCTTGAGCCTCTTGCTGAGCTGCGAATGCTTATCTGCGCATAATCCATTTCTCTTCTGGCTGGGGTTTTCTTTCTGGTCTGGGGCCCCTTCACCGCGCAATTCCAAGTGTGCTTCCTTAGGCTTCTGCAAGACAGGTGTGCAAAGTCCAGTGGTATACCCCCTCTAATCAGCCTACCCCCCCAAAGGCTGACCCACAGGCCGGCAGACAAACACAGCACACAGAACACAATGTAACACAGCACAACACGGGTTGTTCCTCCCTAGCCCTGGCACGTGTCTGAAATGGGATGTCAACATAAAACCTGGGATTCCAAGTCAACATTTCAGAAATGTGTGTTGACTTTGCTGACTCCAAAGTAGGATTTCCCATGGTGAACGCTGTATGGTGAACGCCCTTTCAGTGCTTGCTGAGCACTTATACCCGCGCTTCTGTCCTAGCCGGATTAGCTACTCCCGAACCGCAGGTTATCATTGGTTTCTAGAGTTGGTTTGTGCTGTCCCGGGAGGCAGAAGCAGATCTTATTAGCAAATCATTTGCTCCCATTCAAACAGCCTAATGCTTTTCATGGAGGAAAAGGATTTTGCTGACCACTGGATGTGCAGGCGGGCTCAAGGCACTGACTGTTCCTTTATTCGTCAAAACCATAACAAATTATGCAACAAAGCCTCTCAAGTTCTTGGCCTTAGTGTCTCTCCCTCCCCTCCTCCCCCCTCCCACCCCGGGGGAAGCTCAGGGAGGGAGTGGAGAGGCCCTCAGCGGGAAGCGCCTCCAGTGCAGATAGCAGGCTACTGGCTGCCAGGCGGTTCCCATGCAAAGTTTCGCTGGACCAAACTCTGGCATGGTGGAGCCACGCTGAGAATGCTTCTGGTTTTACAGAGTGGTGTGTGGGGATCTGAGGCAGCATCAGGAGGTCTCAGAGCAAACAAGAAGGCAGTTAAGATAACTAATCATCTCTGTAAATCTTGAAGGCCCTCTTTATGCACCTGAGAGGTTTTGGTGGTTGTTATGGGAATGATCCTTGTGGAATGGTGCTGTGGTTTATTCCTTTCAAGCGACCTGACACACACTTGAAATTCAGTCGTGCTCTCAAAACTGTATTTAAGCCCAACCTAGCAAAGGCAGGTTTTATTCTAAAGGTCATTATATAAACTTTTTTTTAAAATGCAAATCCTTTTTCATAAATTCCTAAAGTTTTCCACTTTCCCCTAAAAAACAAAGTAGCCGATTCTTACCTTTGTTCTGCGTGGTGTATTCTCAGAGATCGCCACACCCTCAGAGTTGGCTCCAATGGCTTCTTCTAAAACTACATCAAGGAGGATACAATGGAGGAGACAGAACATAAAAATCTCAAAACAAAACAAAACACCTTTTTGGTATCTATAGGAATACTCTTAAGAATAGAGAGGTCAGTGTGCTAAAAAAAAAAAAAGTGTCACTAATCAAATGGCTTCTTTTAAGCTTTTCTTATGGTGTTTCATTAGTATCATTTACAAGTGTCTGGTTAGAAGCATGTGTTAGCTATGCCTCGGTCACTTTACTCAAAAGAAATGCTTCAGCTCATCATTGATAGTGCTCAAGCTCCGAGATGAATTTTAAGTAACAGTAATGGGCTTGTCCCAGCCTTTATTCGTCAAAACTCTTTTGATTGCCTGGTCCTTCACGAGGCCAGAGAACAGGCAGTGGTGTGAGAAAACCTTGCCAGGTTTCGGTGTCAGCACACTCTCGGTCCAAAGGCAGTGACTTATTACAAAGAACTTGGGCTGACCCGCAAGTTGAATGCTACATTGACTCCTAACTTTCAGCCTTGTCTTACCCCTGAAAGACTGAGAAGGGAGCAGAGAAATTGAATCTTAAAAATACAACTAAAGCAATGACAGAAACACTAACTTTTGACAGTGCTTTATGTTTTTCAACATGACTTTATATTGCTGGTTTATTTTCCAATGCCATCATTATAAATGACAAGCAAAAGTCCTCAAAAATTATATTGCAATAAGTGAAATAGACAAAAATCAAACGATTCAGCATATAACAAATAATTATTAACCTGTAGTCTATAATTTGTGTTAATACTGTTTTACATATTTTCATCATACAATGTTGAAATACTATACACTGCAGCATTTGCAGTACATGGCACAATGTTGAATGCATTTTTTTTCTTTAAAAGAAAAAATACTATCTAATAAAGAGGGAATATGCAAATTGACCATCATGTCTTAACAAAAATGGCTGCACCCACAGAGGAGGCTGAGTTCCTGTAATGAGTCTTAACGAGCAATCAGCAGGGACCTCAGTCTGCGCACCTGTCCTAGTGCCAGGCTTGGGGACCTGAGGCTGTGTTCCCTGCTTGGTGGGGCTTGACGGGGGACCTCAGGCTGTGCCCACCACACTGGTGCTGGGTCAGGCGATCACAACCCCAATCAGTGAGGCTTGACAGGGGTGGGGCCAGCCAGGTCTGGATCTAGCCCAATGGGGTTGGGGATGGCTGGGTCTGAGTCTCTCGCAATTTTCAGGCATATCTGGGTGGACAGGGACTTGATTCTGGTTCCCATGGTGCCCCCCAGACTCTGACAGGAGGAAGGTTTTCATATATATTTCACTAATTTTCTTTCATCTCTGACACTTCTATTGTAGAAAAAAGGGCAAATAGCAATATTAAAATATTTCCTCTAATTAATTCCCTTTTTATGTGCATGAATTTTGTGCACCGGGTCACTAGTAAGTGATAAAAGTTAAATTGCGCTATTGCAGTAAATGCTTAGGTTTGGAGTTGTGCGAGTGCAAACAGAAAATTTGGATTTAACTCAGAGTCCATGATGAAGTTATTCTTCAGCTTGTCTTTTCCTAGTTCTCTAAGTACTAAGTTAATATTCATTTCTGTCTCCTTCACTTCCTTCATGAATAACAATATGCAGTCATCTAAGACCAGGCTGGGGTTAGGGGTGGAGAGCATGGCGTGGGGCAGGGGGGCTCTGAGGAGGAATCTTAAACATCCGTGAACACACCTGTTAGAATCTCATCCAGTTGGTCCACCAAAAACTGTGCATCTTCTTCCGTGAAGCACATGGGTGGCTTTATTTTAAGCACGTTTCTATGAGGCCCATCGGCGCTGAGCAGCACTCGCTTCTCTTTCATCCTAATCAGAAGGCAGGAAGCACGTGTGAGTGCATACAAAGGATGGCAAGGTTCTTTAAGAAAAATTTTCTGCACGCAAGAAGCCCACACTTATAAATTGCATGTTTTAGGCTTTCCTTATTTGGAGGGGTGGGAGAAGGTAAAAGAAGCTTTCAAAAGAGTGGGAATCCCAGAATCCAGACACCAGGCAGGCGGGGTGCACTTACTTGTAGATGATGTGCTGTGCTTCGGCAGTGGCGGGGGTCCTTCTCTGATGGTCCTTCACCAAGTCAATGCCGATAAAAAGGCCAACACCCCTGAGGGAGGCGAAAAAGGAAAACTCGACACACACTCTCCCAAACCTTACAACAACTTAACACGGTCCCCACACTTCAGGTGACTGTGACTCCCGCTAAGGGTCATTGTAATTGATTCTGACTAATCCAAGACACCAATCCAGTGTCCACGCCTCCTTCTAGTTTCTGAAACAAGTTAAGTTTTTGTAATCCAATGCCACCACTCCTTTACTTGTTTGTAAAAGGCTTAAAAAGAACCTCTTCAGGTCATTTAGTTTCTCAGAGCAGTAATGATGATAAATGTTTATGTCTATACATTGCAAAATACCAAGTTTTCCCGGATATCATTTAAAATAATTTTGAATAGATCACTTAAAGTTAATTTAAGTTCCTTCTTTTCATCTTTGAAATGACCCCAACTTTATCTTTAAAATATATAAAAGGTATAGTAGTACACCCATAAATTAGCAGGAATGATGATATCTGGGTTCTAGATTAAGAATGAGCTTTGTGTTTTATGTTTTCAGGGTTTTCTAGATTTAATTTTATGCAATTTCTTTTAAATTTTATAAGATAAACACAGGCTATTTCATTTGGAAAAATGGATAAGCACATCACAGCGCCATGATAAACACACCTGACATCTCCTATCAAAGGGTGCTTCGCCTTCTGTTTATTCAGTAACTCAGTAAGGTAACTCCCTACTCTTGTGGCATTTCCTTGAAGGTTTTCGTTTTCAATCACATCCAAGACAGCCAAAGCAACAGCAGAAGATACTGGATTTCCTCCATACTTCATTAAAAAAAGGAAAGAAAGATAAATGAGAAAGCATCATAGTTAAATTAGTGGCATTACTTCGTCTATGAGAAATTTGTCTCATACATAAGCAAGTAAAGATATAATTTCAATAAAATTCTTTTGTGATTTCATTTCATAAATTTAGAACATAGCATGATTCTATTCATTCAGGATTAAAGGGAAATTCATTCCAAATTACATTTTTCCATGCTGCATAAGGACGACCAGGGAATGTATTGATTCACCCAAACAAACAAAAACAAAAAAATAGACAATGTGTTGGGAATTAAGGATTTCAGAGTGTGGTTCAGGGAGGGGGATATGGATTTCTGCCCTTGAATAGTTGTGTGACAGCAGCTAAGCAATGACATTTTCTCCAAATAACTTCTGTCGTTAGATTTGAATCTTACCCTTAGCTATGCCAAATCCTATTTACCTTTACGGTATAAACTATAATAATTTTTCCAAGCTTAAGCTTATTCCTTTTGGGGGTAAAACTAAGGAAACAAGATTTCCCGAATAAAATTTTAGTATTTCCTGCAAGAGCCATACAACATTTATAGTACTAAATCATCTAACCGGAGATGTTCTGGAACTTAAAAATATGATACCAAACAAAGAAATAATATCTGCCAGTGAACTATCACTATCTTGAGTTTCGCAGGGCAGCCATTTATTCATGGAATAACTAATAATAACATTGGAGAAAAGATTCAGAAGGAAAAACACACAAGCATTCTGTCAGATAGGATGGAATCCAGTTAGATCAAAGTTTAGCGAGGGTCCTGGATTGATTAGTGGGCAGTACTAAGGGTTATTTTATTATTTTTTTAAATTTCTTTTTTTTTTAAAGCAATCATTATTTTAATTATTATTATTATTTATTTTTTTTATAATTAATTTCTTTATTGATTAAGGTATCACATATTTGTCCTCAGCCCTCCATTCCAATCCTCCACCCCCCCTCATGCCCCCACCCCCTATTGTCCTTGACCACTGGTCAGGCTCATATGTGTGCACATAAGTCCTTTGGTTGATCTCTCCCTTTTATCCCCACCCTCCCTTTGAGGTCCAACAGTCTGACCCATGGCTCCTTATCTCTGGGTCTGTTCTTGTTCATCAGTCTATGTTCACCATTACCCCTGTCTAGGCAAGAAGTGTAAGAGCAGGCATTATGTTAACCTCTTAGCACGAAAGCCAGGGACCGGGATGTACCGTGTTGAAGTACTCCATTCCGGAGCTGCTGAAGGCCTCGGCAATGTCCTTGGTGGTGACCACGCAGGCCACGGGGTGGCCGTTGCCCATGGGCTTCCCCATTGTGACGATGTCGGGGACGAAGGCCTCGCCGTGCATCTGGAAGCTCCAGAAATGCGTCCCGACGCGCCCAAAGCCCACCTGGACCTCATCCGCTATGAACACGCCCCCCGCGGCGCGGACATATCTGAAAAGCAAGAGGACAGGCTCAGGCCTTCGGGTCGCAGCGAGTCCCCATCCCCACCCACAGAGATGCAGATCATTGGGCACTTAAAAAATAATGTTGCTAATCGGAAGCCTGGAATCGTTGTTAAAAATATTCCAGTGATCAGGACCACCCCTCCCCATCCACCCACCCCTAAAGGCACCTCTATGGTCACTGACTTTGAAATACAACCACATCATCTCCAGATTATATCTCTTCCATAGTTAGATTTGTGTTTGTGATCAAGGCAGCTCTAGGGCAGTATTGTTTGTTTGTTTGTTTGTTTCTTTTTATCTTCACCCGAGGATGTTTCTCCATTGTTTTTTAGAGAGAGTGGGAGAGAGAGGGGAGGACAGAGAAACAGAGATGATGTGAGAGAAGCACATGAATTGGTTGCCTCCTGCAATCGCCCTACCAGGGCCTGGGCGGGGGAGGAGCCTGCAACGGAGGAGGTACGTGCCCTTGTGCCCTTGACCGCAATCAACCTGGGACCCTTTGGTCACAGGCTGGTGATTTATCAACTGAGCCAGACTGGCTAGGCTACGGCAGTATGTTAAGTGGGAAAATTAAGAAGTGAACAAGGAGTCATGTTTAGCAGGATTAATCTTCAAATTTTTGCTGTTAAGGCTTAGGCACTATAATCAGAGAGGACATCAGGTAGGATGCTGAGGCAGAGTCCTGGAGGCCCCCTGCCGGACCACACGTAAGGTCTTTATTTGCTGAATCTCGGGAATTTGAAGGAATCCAGGAGTCCTGGGATGGCAGGCACTCCGAAGTGGCTATTGTCTAGCTGGTTGGGAAGTACTTCAGTGTTTTAACAACCAGTGTGGCCCTGTAGAATTGTCCTGGTGCCCTCAGTGTGACCCAGAATACCCGTGTCAAGTACATACTCGGCTACTTTCTGGAAGTAACCTGCTGGAGGGATTACTTGTCCGCCACAACTCTGCATGGATTCAGCAATAAAGGCAGCAATCTACAAAAGAGAAGATGGGGTCAAAGTTCATGAAGTCCCCCTCATACCACCTGAGAAAAAGCACTTCTTATAGAGCAGGTTTTTAAAAGATGGCTGGGCAAGTGGATCTGTGGCAAGTGGCAAATAGGCCGTTTAATTAAAAAGAGAAGATATCTATGATGAAAAAGCAAGTGATCTGAAGCTTTTGTTTTTGAAATCCTAGGGTATCGATGAAACTACTGGGAGTTTTAATAAGTAATTTAAACACTGTTTTTACTAGGATCTGTGGAATAAGACTGGTGTGTTGCTCAGTCTTGATACAAATCTCTTAAAAATTACCCAGGTTCTAACTACATTACTGTGGTGCCTATTCCTCAGGGTGGTGAAATGGAACTGCCTGAGGTTGGAATTTGCACTAATGAAATGGGAGGATGACTTGAGGCCACACACAAGTCACTGTGTTATATTTCTAGTCCTTGTCCTGAACAGGCTTAATTCAACAGACTTAGGCAATTCACAATAGGAACTATAGAGAAAGTGTTCTAGAGGCTAAGAAAGGAGCAGAAAAGTAGGTAACACTGAGCGAAGAAGAGAAAGTATAGAACTACTGAGATACGAAGTCGAGAGAATCAAGGAAGGGTGAAGACTTGGAAAACAGGAAGTCTGTTTCCTACTCTGAAGGATTCTGGTTCTGTCTTAGAAGCCCAGGCCCAGATCGGAAGAAACTATTTCTGCCGTGACTTGCCCAAGCTCCATGCCTGCAGGGAAGCTGGAACAGTTCAGGGGAAGCACCCAGGCTCCCTTGTGGGTCTCGAGTCTGCACTGGGGCTGATGCTCCAGGGATGCTCTGCCTGTTCCCTCCTGTCACCATGTGTTGGCCCCTCCTGCTGCTCTGCACTGAGGAAATCTGTCCCTGACCTATAACCTTCCTTCATCCTTTTTTTTTTTTAATGTTTAAAATTTATTTATGTATTTGTTTATTTTTAATTGATTATAGTATCACATAATTGTTCTCATCCCCCATTCCCATCCCAAACCCCTCCCTACATATGCCCTCACCCCTCTGTTGTCCATAGCCACTGGCTAGGCCCATATGCATGCACACAAGTCCTTTGGTTGATCTCTTCCCTTTACCCCCACCCTCCCCTACTTTCCCTCTGAGATTTGAGAGTCTGATCACTGCTTCTCTTTCTCTGCGTCTGTTTTTGTTCATCAGTTTATGTTGTTCATTATTTCCTCTAAATATGTGAGATCATGTGACCTAAGAAATACCCTTGTAAGAACCTTCATCCTCTCTTCCCAGCCCCTTTGGACCACAGCCTGCCTCCCACTAAGAAGGTCAGAGCTAGGCCATCAGCTCTGGGACAGGCATAGTGATTGCATTTCCAGGATAAATAAAAATAGTTTGAGAGGCATGACTATAACAATGCACTTTTTGAAATATGTAACCAGAGAAGAACGGAAAGGGAATTGAGATCTAATTCTTTTCCATCTCTCCAATGTATCACAATGACTTAAATTCATTTTTATAAAAGATGTTAAAATGTTTCCAAAGCTGTAAACACACACCTTCCTTCCATTCTTATGAGCGTCTTCAATGATTTTCTGCACTTCATCTGCATAAGCACTGGCTGGGTCTGCATGGTCTTCTCTATATTTTCCTCGGTAAGTATCTGGAATTGGTGCCTGAAAACATCAAATAATAGAGTTTCTAATAATTTGCCTCTGCACAAAATGAGCCTTTAAAATTAGGCATTTCCCCACAAAAGCATATTGGGAAGATGACCATGTGGATTTAAGTGACTGTAGGTTCTTTTGTTCTTTTCCCACCACATTTCTGAATTCAGTGAGTACTGAAATCTTTTCATTGTGAATGGGAGCTTGGATTAGCTCCTAGAGCTTTATAAATCATGACTACATATCTACTCGTATAGGGACAAAAGTCAAATAAACAGTGTGATTATATTATTGGAAAATTTCAATGAATGGAAACTGTATTAAGTATTTTAGTTAGAAAATAAACTAACATTTGCCAATTATATAGCAAACTGTAATTATTCAGAAAACTCAAGTGTCTTAGCACTGCTTCCAGATCTTAAAATTTTGAAAGATGGTATTGATGATTCTCTTGAGAAAGTCCTTAATTAATCCAAATGAAATTTACTGTTTCAACAATTTAATTGGCTTATTTTACTTACTAAATCTAGGTAATAATTTAGCATAGAGCAATTTAATTTTAAGATCGTCATAAACACTTAATTGAACTTTGAATTTCAAGGTGACATCAGTGATAGAAAAGGTAATTTAAGACCAAAAGTCAAGAAAAATAAACCGGTAGCTGTCAATAACAATTATCACTGCCACTATACTAATTTGCCCATTGTGGTACTCATTGATGGATTTTAAGCCACATCCTCTCATTAACTGCTCTAGATCTTAGTTTCCTTCTCATGGTTTCATTTCAATGAAAGGGTTGGACTGGATTATCACTAGGCATTTATCCAGTTACTAATATTCTCATTCTTGGATTCTAAAATACTTACCACATGCACAAATTCTTTCTTGACATCTTTGCCCTTTCTAAATTTATATGGACTGATCTCAATTAAAGATGTTAAGTGACCATGGTAAGCACTGAAAAGAAAAAAATACAAACAGTAAATTAAATTGCTTAAAGAAGATTGTTTATCTAGCATATGAAGAATAATATTACATCTCATTCAGGGAGAATCTCAATATGGGTGCCAGATTTAACAGTATGGGATCTAATTTTTCATGGCAAGACTGGTCATTTAATTTGCTCAGTTCTTTTTATTCATGTAATAAAATACAAAAAAAGCAAATATGTATCCTTATAAAAATTTATTTTTAGCCAGAAAATAACTTAATATTTTAAAATTATATCTGTTAGCTTAGTCTACATGTAAAAATACCATTTTCTATAGCTTCATGAACAACTTCTTACATATATTTGATAGTTACATTTCAGTAAATTTTAAAAATAACTATATCATGTAATGGGCTGTGTTTCTGTTTGGGATGATTCCCAAAGGATGTCCAGTTGTGTTTATCAGGCAAATACAAGTTGCTAAGAAACAGAACTAAAATTGAGAGGTGATCAAGTGGCTATGAAATTCCTTTCTTTCACTTAAAATACAGGTGGCTCTGATATTCACTTTTCTGTTTCTTGCCCAGAGATATAATTGAAAGATCTGCAAAAGAAGTTATAAGAGGCCCACAAATAGACAAAGCAAAGAGAGAGCACTTTCTTTACCATAGTTTAAATCCTGCTACAGAGCTATAGTAGTACAATTAGCATGGCCTTGGAGAAAAGCCAGAGAGATGGCTAGGACGGAAGGTGACCTCGGAGATACATTCACACATAAATGGTCATACTGGGATTCCAGGGGGATTGAATATGAGGAGTAATTATTAAAATAAAAAAGACTATCTTTGAGACCTGAGGACTGAGAGATATTAATAAAACGAAAACATAAAAGCATAAGATGAAAATTTTATCTCTTTGATAAAAATTAAAGATTTCTGTGGAAGAATTCCAATGACAAAGTTAAAAGACATATGATAGATAAGGAAAAAACATCTGAAATGTCTCAAACTAATGTCTCAGATTAATTCCCAAAATTAATTCTGCCCATATATTGGGATCAGTTGGGGAATTTTAAAACAAGTCTGTTTTCTAGAATCTGCCTCTAGAGATTCCCTTTCAGTGGTCCGGCATGGAGCCTGACATTGGTATTAAAAAAAAAGGAAAAAAAAAAAAAAAAAAAAAAAAGAATCCCCAGGTAATTTTAAAACAGTCAAGATTTAGGTCCTCTGATCTAGACATATAAGCAACTGCATACCAACAAGGGTGGAATCCCAATTTAAAAAAAAATGGGCCAAGAATACGAACATACGAACAGTAATTTTCAGAAGAGAATTCACCAATGCATATGTACATAAAGAGACACTCAAACTCATAGTTAGAAAATTGCAAATTAAAACAACTTTGGAGTCATTTTTTATACCTATTAAATGGGCAAACATCAGAAAAAAATTAGAAAGCAGAATAGGTTTTGTTGGAGATATGGAAAAATGGAAAATTTCATGCCCTTGGAGTGTTGCAACCAGTTTTGGAGGTAGAGCTGGCAGTATTTAGTAAATCAGCAATGTTTATAGTACCCCTATGATCTAGCAATCCTGTTTCTGCTATTTATCCCTAAGAAATTCTTGGAAAGGTCCGTAGGGCACATGTACAAGGATTCCCACTGCAGCGCTGTTTGTGGTAGTTGGGGCTAAAGGGCATTCACAGAGTCCATCTCTGGGTAGAACGATATGCAACAGTTCTAGCTGCGCTGTCCCCTGTGACAGCCACACTCACAGGCAGCTATTGAGCACTTGGAGTGCTCTAGTCTGAACTGGCATGTACTGTAAGTGTAAAACACATGTTGGATTTTAAAGACAATACCAAGAGAGCGTGCGAGAGAATGCTCAATGTTTTCCGTAACAGTTACATGTTGAAATGATATGTCGGGTGTAATGGCTAATAGAAAATTGTAAATTCCATACGTGGCTCAAATATATTTCTATCGGACAGCGCTGAATTAGAATAGATGGACAGCCATCAACATGGAATCTTGAAACAGTGCTGATGAAAGAAGTCAGAAACAGACAGAGATCTACAACAATGTTTGCAAAATTAAAACAGATGCACATAAAATAATATACATTTTATAAAAATAAAAGATATACATAGATATATTAAAATAGTTGTCTATAAGTGAAGAAGAACGGGAATAAAATAGAACCGAAAAATCAGCTGTGGTGGCCACCCTGCCCCCAAGGTGCTCATGTCCTAAACTTCAGATCCTAAGAATATGTTATATGGCAAAGGGCACTTTGCAGATGTGGTTGAGTTAGGATCATGAGGGAGAGATAATCCTGGTGGGTCCAATGTAATCACAAGTCTTTGTAAGTGAAAGGAGCCAGGGGCATGGTGATCGTGAGGATGCAAGCAGAGGCTGCTGTAATGCAAAGGCTGGCTCTGAAGATGAAGGAAGGGACCATGAGCCAAGGAGTGCAGGCAGCCCCTAGGAGCTGCACAAAGCAAGGAACAGATTCTCCTCTAAAGCCTCCAGAGAAATCAGCCCTGTTGACACCTTGATTTTCACCTTGTGAGAACCATGTGGACTTCTGTCATACAAAACTGTAAGAGCATATATTTGGGTTACTTTGCCACCAAGTTGGTGGTAATCTGTTCCAGCAACAATAGAAAACCCACACCCCAACCAACACATGCCACGTAGAATGGAGAAGCCTACAGAGGGCAAGAAATAAGGAGCATGTGCAATTCAACCCTCTGTGTCCAAGAGGTAGGAAACAATTTAAAAGAAAGAAATCTCCTTAGTAAAGATTGAAGTCGTTGGATTGCTTGTTTAAAATGTAATAACTGTACGCTTGAGAGGTAAAATTAAATAGTGGTCATTAGTAGTCATAAACTAACTTTTACCTGGCTCCTTGTTTTCCTTAAAATTTGCTCTAAATAATTATCTTTTAAATTAATTACAGTGCATAATCACAGTAGTGAAATGAATGCTTGGACTTTTAAGAAACTAATTGTATTTTTATTTTTAAAAAGATGTATACACGAAGTGGCCCAATAAATAGTTAATGTGTGAAAAGTAAGCCCAGATTCATGCAAGCCCATGAGACCATAAGCACAGCACCCAGTAGAGCCTCCAGTTTGTAGGTACTTAGAAGGAAGTAAGTCTCCTGCAGGCCTGGACTGGCCTTGATACCCTGATACAAGTAAGAATCACTGTGCCACACACCCACCGTCCTCTACATGTGTTGGTACTAGCATGGATAGGGTCAATATGATTTTGTCTCTGAAGGAGCTTCTTGCTTAGAAATCTTGCGTCCAAGACTTACTGGTCAAGAGTGATCACATCTTGGTGGCCCCTGAACTGCCGAGCCAGGCGTAAGGCTAAGTCATTGGCTTCAGATCTGTAAGACAACACAGAGGGAACAATGGCATAGAAACTTTTTGAAACGTATTTCAAAATATTCATCAAAAAGTTGTAAGATTCTAATGAAAGTAGTTTTCCTTATCTGTGGGGGCATGTGTTCCAAGACGCCACAGAAGATGAATGAAACTGTGGATAGTACCAAATCCCATATATACCATTTCCTCTTATACACACATGCTATGAGAGTTTAATTTAGAAATTAGGCACAGTAATATTTGCATATTACCTCTTTATATCTGTATATCTGTATAAAGAGGTAATATGCAAATTAGGCTGGGATGCTATAACGGGTCACTACAGGACAGGAGGAGGTTGAGCATGCAGGTGAGGCCTAGAGCAGAGACAGAGACAGAGACGGGGTCCTGCCTGAGCTGGTGCAGCGGCATGGCTTGGGCTGTCCTGGAGTGGACACAAGCAGGGGGAAAGGAGGACACTGCTAGTCAGGCGTGGGGCCCGGCCCCCCGCCGGGTGCCTCCTCGCGTAATTTCAATCACGCACTGAGCCTCTAGTAACTAATAATAAAAAAGAACAATTATAACAATATACTGTAATGAACGTTCTGTGAATGTGATCTCTCTCTCTCTCTACTGGAACTCACCTTTTAACTCAAAGGAAGCCCCTTTCAGCTTCTCTTTGCATATCCAAACTATCAGCACCACTCTTGTGCTTTGGGGCCATTATTCAGTAGTATCAGTGCCCCTTGAACATAAGCCCCGTGACACCGTAGGAGATCGGACAGTCAATCTGATCACTGAGGGCACTAAGTGACCAGTGGGCGGGGGATGCGTACACTGCGGTTACACTGGGAAAAGGAATGATTCATGTCCCAGGCAGGACAGAGCCAGATGGCATGGGATTTCGTCATGCTACTCAGAATGGCCCATATTTTCAGACCACCATTGGCCATGGATAACTAAAACCACAAAAGGAGAAATCTCAAAGAAGGGCTGGGGAACATTGTATTCAGAAATGCATTAATAAGTTGAACTCCTTTCCTTCACTTTTAATCTTGCCCATCCAGCAATATCACCTCATCCTTCTCACACAAGTTCCCAGATGTCTTCAATAAAGAATGAGACACAGAAGAAACAGTGCAAATGAGGGGTATGCTGCCCATTTCACACGCTAGAGGAGTTCAGCCACATCAGTGGGTGATTAATTTTGAGGACATTTAGAGGCCATTCTCCTTGGGAGGAATGAGAGTGTGGGGGCCCATTAACTTGACTACTAAAATCTTTCATATTGGCCCACTATTTAATTTCTTATCTATAAGATGAAGATCATAATTTTTCAACCTGGTTTAGGGAGTCTAACTATACTACTCAGACAGACACGGGGGAAGAATATAATCCATTGTGCAATGCTTTCTGTGACAGACATCATGGTGTTGTGTTGCTTGTATTTATTCTCATAACTATTCTAACAGGCTAGTACTGTCATCTCCTTTCTATAAATGAGGAAACAACCTCAGAGAGCATAAGTGACCAGAATGAGTTCTCACAGCTAATAAGAAGTAGAGTCAGGTTTCAGACTGAAGCCTGTTTAACTTCAAGATTATTTTGTGTACTCTCCGAGGCTCTGTCACTTCCAGTCTTTTGAGACAGCCTTCTTCTTCTTCTTTTTAAAAAAAATATATTTTTATTGATTTCAGAGAGGAAGGGAGAGGGAGGGAAGGAGGGAGAGAGAGAGAGAGAGAGAGAGAGAGAGAGAAAGAGAGAGAGAGAGAGAGAGAGAGAGAGAGAGATAGCAACATCAGTGATGATACAGAATCATTGATTGGCTGCCTCCTGCACTCTCCCTACTGGGGATCAAGCTCACAAACCAGGCTATGTGCCCTTTGACCAGAATCAAACCTGGGACCTTTTTGTCCACAAGCCAACACTCTATCCATTGAGTCAAACTGGCTAGGGTGGAAACAACCTTATTTGATGACAGTGTTCTCTGGGGCTAATCCCTGTCTGACGGTATAGGATTCTTTGACAGTAAAAGTCAATTATGATATTTAGTTTATTAAAAGCAAGAATGCTTTAAAACAACCTATCTTAATTCATTTTTATCCAGTGCTTTAAAAAAAATGTTTTATTGATTAGAGAGAGAGAGAGAGAGAGAGAGAGAGAGAGAGAGAGAGAGAGAGACAAGGGAAGAAGGAGAGAGAGAGAGAGAGAGAGAGAGAGAGAGAGAGAGAGAGAGAGAGAGAGAGAAACATTGATGTGATAAAGAAACATCGATTGGTTGTCTCCTGCATACACCCAACCGGTGATTGAGCCTGAAACCCGGGCATGCTCCCTGACCAGGAACCAAACTGGTATCTTTTTGGAGCACAGGATAATGCTCAACTAACTGAGACACACCGCTCAGGGCAAAATATCTTATCTCTTTACATAGAAAAAAGAATGATCTTCTGGTTTAAAATTTGCTGCTAAAATATCTCATTGAGAAGATACATGTACATAATTTCTAATAGCCAATTTTAAGACACACAATCATTTAAAAATATAAGTTTATGCTGAATATACAGATTTCCTCCCAATATAACATTGCATTGTGAGTTTTTCACATGTCATTAGGCATATAATTTCAAAACATACTTTTTTTTTTTGTGTGTGTGTGTTAATCCTCACCCAAGAATATATATTTTTCCTATTGCATGTTTTAGAGAGAAATGAAGGGAGGGGAGAGACACAGACAGAAACATTGATGTGAGAGAGACGCCATTATTGATTGTCTTGCATTCTTGCCTTGACTGGGGCCAGGAATCCAGCCTGCAACCCAGGTACAAGCCATTGACCAAAATTTAACCCAAGATCCTTCAGTCTGCAGGCTGATGCTCTAACCACTGAACCACTGGTTAGTTCAAAACATACTTTTAATGCCTACACAATATTCCAGAATAGATATGTAATAATTTGAATTTACAGAATTTAAAAGTTGGAATGTATCTATTCACCTGATTTTTTTTTCTTCCTTTCCTTTGTGTAAATATGTTCATTTGTCTAAGAAAACAAATCAATCACAAAACTTCCTAAAGCCCTGGCTACGTATAATAGCTCAGATACTGGGAGCATAGAACTGTACACTGAATAGGTTGTACATTTGGTCCCTGGGTGGGTTGTGTAGGGAAAGCAATTGATCGATGTTTCTCTCTCACATTGATTTTTTTCTCTCCCTCTCTCTCCCTTCCTCTTTCTCCAAAAATCAATAAACATATCATTGGCCAAAACCGATTTGGCTCAGTGGTAGAGCGTCGGTCTGCGGACTGAAAGGTCCCAGGTTCGATTCCAGTCAGGGGCATGTACGTTGGTTGCGGGCACATCCCCGGTAGGGGGTGTGCAAGAGGCAACTGGTCGATGTTCCTCTCTCATCGATGTTTCTAGCTCTCTATCTCTCTCCCTTCCTCTCTATAAAAAAAAATCAATAATATATATATATATAAAAATAAACATATCATTGAGAATTTTAAAAAAATCTTACACAAGTAATAGCTTGTTCAGTAGAGTTCTTCCTTTGATAAATTTCCTCATTCATGCTTTGAAAGGACTAAGCTGGATTCTTCAGCTACTTATTCTACTGCTGGAAGAGATGAGTGTCATTTGACTAGTTAGGTTTTCTCACATGAGCACCAGACTTAAATATATATATATATATATATATATATATATATATATATATATATTTTTTTTTTTTTTTTTTGCAATAAATGGCATAAGTAGTAACCTTTTTGGGATACTTAAACGGATGCCTTCCCATCTTTCACCAAGAAAACCATGGTAATAAACAGTTGAGTGGCACCTTCATCATCAGACTGTTGTTACAGGCTGTGCTTAGAGGCCTTGGAACATGCTGTCCGGTGTCTACCTGCAACAGGCTGGGGGAGTACAGGAAGCAGACGGCCAGGACCCCGGTGTGTGACCATTTAGTAAATGGCAGGAATGTCAGCAAACCTTGAAATATCAGTGCTCCACCACGAAAGGTGTGTGCGAGAGAGGAAACTGCTGGTGATGGGACAGGCAGGAAGCCTGGACACCTACCCTGAGTTTGTAAAATAGCACACGGAGAGCTTCTCGGGCAGAGTCGCGCAGATGCGCTTGGCATACTCCACAATGTTGTCGTGGAGGAACCGGGAGTTGGTATTGAGCAGTTCCATCTGCTTCGCGGCAGCCTTGACCACTTCTGGGTGACAGTGTCCCACTAAAGTTCAGGAGACAAAAGCCAGAGAAATAAGTTATAAGACTAAATGCCTGGCCAGTGAGGAGGATTCTAAAGCAAGAAAACGAGAACACAAGTTAAGCTCATTTCTTGTTCCACATTTTGCTGCAACTTTTCTCTGCTGGGACTCCTGGGCTCGTTCAGCAAAGGAACTGCAACCTCTGGAATTCCTGGGGCCAATATTCATGGTGCCACGTCTGCCTGACTCCATAAAGGTACCCTCCAGACACTGCCAGGCGGGACCGTTACCGTGGGCGACGTTGTTGATGCAGTCCAGGTACCGTTCCCCTTTCTCGTCAAACATATACTGCCGCTGGGCTCGCACTATTTTGATGGGGTCCGAGGCGAAGAACATTTTGCAGGAGGGCCTAGAAATAAAGAGAGGGAACATCCTGGTCTGCTCGGACTGCTCAGTATTTTTCCTTCTCAATGAAGGTCATGATAAGTGGAAAATTACAACTACATCCAGCAACTGAAAACACAGCCTGGGTGACATACTTAAAAAAAAAAAAATTCATATCAGCCTGGAACCTTTTATCTTAATCCTGCGTTCGTGACACTGCTCACATTTCTTATTATATTAAATTTGCCACGGATTGACAATGCTGTTTAAAGGCACATAGATCAATTTCCGTAGCCCTAGTTACATGAACCAATAACTAATTTTTCCTTTGGGAAATTTTGTTCTACCAGGGGGAAAAAACAACCCATCAAACTTTTTTATTTTTTATTTTAGGCTTATTATGAGTCAGGAACTGACAGATATTACAAATATTATCTCATTTAACCATCCCAACAATTGTATGAAATAGGGGTTATTATTGTCCTCATTTTTAGAGGTGAGGAAACTGGGACACAGAAAAATGAAGACATTTGACCAAGGTTACACAGCTAGTAAGTGAGAAAATCAGAATTTGAAAGTATGTAGACTGTCTTATGCCATAGCCCAAGTTAGTGCTTGCTTGCTTTCTCTCTCTCTCCTTCTAATCTAATTTATATGAACAATAAATAGCACAAAAGGCTAAATACAAGTAACTTAGTGTTAAATACTATATGGAGATTACTTTGAGTAGTGCTTGTTCTGTACCCAATGGATTTTCCATTCTTAAATAATAAAATCCAGTGATCATTCTAATCCTTTAATCCACTCTTTTAAGCATAAAAAAAAGTCATCAACATTTTTTGTTGTTTGGGAATGTCTGGAGTATAAATTTTAGCAACATAGCATCAAGACCAGGTTTCTGACCTTGGCTCTATGGACACTTAGAAATGCAAACTGAATATGTTATTTTTATTTATTTATTTATTTATTTATTTTTTAAAATATATTTTATTGAATTTGTACAGAGAGGAAGGGAGAGAGATAGAGAGTTAGAAACATCGATAAGAGAGAGTCATCGATCAGCTGCCTCTTGCACACCCCCTACTGGGGATATGCCCGCAACCAAGGTACATGCCCTTGACCGGAATCGAACCTGGGACCCTTCAGTCCCCAAGCCGATGCTCTATCCATTGAGCCAAACCGGTCTCGGCATGAATATGTTATTTTTATTTTGGTGATTTTGCATGCAAAGCTCTCCCCGCCCGCGCCCTCCCCTCCCTCCTCCACACACACATTAAAGGTAGTCTTCAGGCTATTTAAATACCTATCTATTAACTTGATATGCATTCTTTAGAAAGTATTTTCATTATTTCCAACAGGTCATCTGAAATTTTAACACTGCCTAAGCTAAGTAAAACTAATGTGTACTGTGAATTTCTTATTGGTTCATGCTCCGCTGTTAGTTTATACTAAGAGTTGAAATCCAAAGAAAACTTTTGCTCTGAATGAACTTCACTTTCCCGTGTTATAATGAATTTTCCACCTTGCCCCTCAGACTTCAGCTAAAATTCTCCAGTCAGCTCATGGCTAACCTTCTTTCACGGATTTGTTCTGCTCATGTCAAAGGTCATTAGGTCTTCATTGGAACCTAACTATATAGGACTGAAAACCAAGAATGGAGTGGTGATTAGAAAAAGGGAAAGGGGTGATCAGGTAAGGAGGAATCTATTTTGGTTGAACCGTGGGGCTAACCGGCCTCCGAAATCATTCAGAGACTCCCTGGGTTGGTATCAGGAGTCTCAGTATGACACGCTGCCTAGCACTTCTCCCAAGAAGAGGGCCCTGATTCTTTCTTGTGTCCCCCCCAGGCCTCTCTCCAGCCAGCCCGCTGCAGCACTTGCTAATTACTTGTAATTATTACAGACCCTTAATGTTACAGGATCTAGGGCTTCGAAGAGCTGCAATCATCGTTCGTCTTTGCATGCGCCTTAAAAAACAGTCACAAAGCCAGACCGGTTTGGTTCAGTGGATAGAGCGTAGGCCTGCAGTCTGAAAGGTCCCAGGTTCCATTCCGGTCAAGGGCATGTCCCTTGGTTGTGGGCATTTCCTCAGTAGGGAGTGTGCAGGAGGCAGTTGATCTATGTTTCTCTCTAGATGTTTCTAGCTCTCTATCCCTCTCCCTTCCTCTCTCTAAAAAAAATCAATAAAATATTTTAAAAAGTCACAAAACCAAAAATTACAACAAAAACAGATTACACTGATTTAATATCGTTTGCTCGCGCTCCTGTGCAGCAGGATGTCATGCCTCCTCTGCACAGGAGAGGAAATGACTTGGCAGAGGTCACACAGGTAACAGGACACCCTCTAGGATCAGAGCCCAGGTCCGGCCACGGTCACCCGCACATAACCAAGCGGAGTGCAGCGCGGGCAAGGCAGGCGCACTCTGAGAGCACGCCGGGGCTTCGAAGGGAACTGTAAGTACGCCCTGAGCCTTAGGACGGCCCGTCCCAAGTCTTCTCCTGGTTGGGCTAACCCCCTCCCTCTGCACCGAGCGTGCAATAAGAAAAAGTTCACTTTAAACAAGATGTCAGGATGTGCTTGTTTTCACAATCGTCATCAAAATAAATATTTCTGAGTTGACAGTTTTGGAAACGACTCAACCGAGTTGAGCAGGTGGGAGTGGCGGAGAGGTGCGCTCCTTCCTCCCAGCACTGGTCCCTGGCTCGACGTTATAGGGCCGTCACCCCGCCCGCGGCTCCGGCTCCCGGGACTGCAGAGCCGGGCTGCGCGGGGAGGCCGGGGAGGAAGGGGCCGGAGGGTGGGGCCGGGCGGGAGGGGGCTCCCGGCGCAGGTGCGCGGGCGGCGGGCTCGCACCGGTCTAGCCGCCGCTGGAGCGGAGCTTGGGGTGCGCTCCCAGCTCGCCCGCTCCCTGCCAGGCTCCGCTGTCAGCCCCCGCACTCAGGATTCCCCCCTCTCTGCGCCGTCCCTGGGGCCGGGGTGCCCTTACCCGATGTGCCTCCTCCGCAGCGCCAGCGTGTCCTGCTTGCTGTACAGCTCGCACATGGTGGCCCGGCGCTCCCAGGTCCCCTCTCCGGTCTGCGCGCCTCCTCGCAGCCAGCGGACTGCCTCTCCGGCGGATCTTCCCTCCCGTCCCCCGCGCCTTGGGTCCCCTTGCCCCGGCTTGGGAGGTCAATGGTGGCATCCACGAGCTAGGGTCATCGCCTTTTAAGTCTTGCCCTGCATTTACCCTTCCCCAAGCCCCACCCCCTGCACCCGCCTGGTGCCTGCTTGGCAAGTCTCTGGACTATCCACCCATTCGACACCCGTCTCCTCCCGCAGCCTAACTGGCTCCAGTTTCTGCCCTGTTGATTCTCACCTCCCCTCCCCATCCCGCTTCTTCTTCGGACTCTCCTTTTAGTTTTCTAACCTTGACTTCTCCTCTTTTCCTCCTCTGCCTGTGAATTCCCCTCCTTCCTGCTTTCGTGTTTGTGTGTGTGTCTTTTCTTTCTTTCTTTCTTTCTTTCTTTTTTTTTTTTTTGGGGGGGGGGGAAGGAGAGGGGTGGAGAGGGAGAGAAACATTGATTAGTTGATCCTGACCAGGGATTAAACCTTGAACTTGGCTTACCAGGAGATCGCTCTAAGCAACTGAGCTACTAGGCCAGGCTCTTATTATTTTCTTGTGAATATTCAAAGACAGGCACTCTTTGGAGATATAAAGACCGAACAGTTGTCTCCATTTTCACTTTGAGAGTATTTCATTACCATAACCTACTGGAACTCAGGAAAGTAACAAGTCCCGGATATGGGAGCACCAGTCCCTCTTAACTACAACAGATTGGAAGATTCATGATATGAAGAGATTAATGATTCTTGTAGAGCTTCATAGTCACAGCTTCTTCTTTTTTTAATCCTCACCTGAGGATATGTTTTTATCAATGAAAAAGAGAGAAATAGAAATGTGAGAGAGAACAAAGGATCAGTTGCCCCAACTGGGAATTGAACCCCCAACCTAGATATGTGCCCTGACTGGGAATTGAATTGGCAACCTTATGGTGTACGCTGAAACCAACTGAGCCACTGGGCCAGGGCAAACATAGTTTCTTCCTTCAGGCATTAATACCATAGCTGAAGAGCAAAGATATTATCACACTGTTCCTCACATGACAAAGCACCCTTTTTAATATCCTGAATAAAGTGACAATGCTTTATAGCAGGGAAAAAGCTACAAGTCGTATGCCCTAAGGATAAATGACAGACTCAGCCTGGTATTTGCTGGGAAAAATACAGCATTTCAAACATCTGTTTTGACAACAATAATGACACTTCTCCCTTTTCTAGTACTATATAGATTGCAAGATATTCACCTGATTTATCTGGTTCAATCTGAGAAACAGTGCTGAGAGGTTTCACCCCACTTAGCCTATGGGGAAAGTGAGGTTGTTCCCTGTTCTACGATTATCGATTATCGGTCAATCTGGCAGTTGAAGCTGGAATTTATTCCTAGGTTTCTTGACTCCCTTTACATCGATCTTTGCCCACTGATCAAGTTTGAGGTTAAATGTGTGGACAGAAGTAACCCTAATCAACTCTAACATTAAATCATAAATTATTTTGAGAACTAGAGATAAAATTTGGTTTCACTACTTTGTTCTATAAAGAACAGCGAGGCAAAGGTAAAGTCTTATTCAAGATCACACAACTACTTAGCCATAGGATTTAAGTCACTTCATTCTTCCTGTGTTTTGAAAAAGCCTAATTTTTCTATAATAGCACACTGGATAAATGTTTGGAAAATGACCTTCCTCTTTATTTATTTTTATAGCTTACATTCATTGGTACTTTGTATTAGTTTCATGTGGACAGTATACTTGTTAGACAATCATATTACTTTACAAAGTGTTCCCCCAGATATTACCAGTACCCACCTGACACCCTACTTAGTTATCACAGTATTAATGACTGTATTCTCTAGGCTGTACTTTACATTCCAGCCTGGAGAATACAGATGACTATTTTGTAATCCCTTCATGTCTTTCATCCATTCTCCTTAACCCATTTCCTTTCTGGCAACCACCAGTGTGTTCTCTGTGTGTATGAGTCTGTTCCAACTTTGTTCCTTTATTTTGTTCTTTAGATTCCACATGTAAATGAAATCATAGGGTATCTGCATTTCTCTGAGTGACTTATCTCACTTAGCATAACACCCTCCAGGTTTATCCCCGAAGTCACAAATGATAAGATTGCATTCTTGTTTATGGATGGGTAATGTTTCATTGTATATATCTACCACAACATTTTTATCCACTCAATGACCTTTCTCTTGAATGAAAGTGTTTGTTTACTAACACACTGCAGGAGTAATAGAATGCCAAATTTACATTTCCCCCTACATCTTTATTCTCAATTCCAGACTCCCCATCCACTTCTTTCCTTTTCTCTCTCTTATTTTTTTTTAAATAATTTTTAAAAATATATATTTTATTTATTTTTTACAGAGAGGAAGAGAGAGGGATAAAGAGTTAGAAACATCGATGAGAGAGAAACATAGACCAGCTGTCTCCTGCACACCCAACTATTGGGGATGTGCCCGCAACCAATGTACATGCCCTTGACCGGAATCGAACCTGGGACCTTTCAGTCCACAGACCAATGCTCTATCCACTGAGTCAAACTGGTTTCAGCCACTTCCTTTCTTGACATCTCCACTTAGAAGTTTCATAAACACCTCAGACTGACTGAGTCTAAAACGGAAGCTTTGATCCCACCCCCAAAACTGTTGCCTCCAATAAGCTTCTCGTCACTGGGCATTATTCACTCATTTAAAACATACTAAATGCTCACTGTATGTCACTGAATGTTCCAATTGCTGGAGAAAAACAATGAGCTAGACAAAATAGACCTGCACTGCCCTGTATATAGCCACTGTCACAGGTGATTATTAAGGACTTAAAAAGTGGAGATGTGCTGTCAGTGTAAAATACACATAATATTTTGAAGACTTCATACAAAAAAGTTAAAATATTTTATTCATTTTTATATAATTTGTCCAAACAATATTTTGAAAATATTGGATTACATAAAATATATCATTAAAATTGATTTTACTGCCCTTTTAATGTGGCTACTAGCAAATTTAAAATTACATATGTGGTCTGCATTGCTTTCTTATTGGACAGCATTATTGTAGATGGACAGAAAAACAAGTAAACAAATAAATAAACAAGATAATGGCTTAAGTTGCTTTAATTGTGGTAGGAGCCTGGAAGGAAATAAACTGAGGGAAATTATCCTAATTCAGAAACCTGAGAATTCCTACCCTTTTCTCAATTCCATCCCTGTGTCAAATTATTTTTAAGCCCATTGTACCCCACTTTAAATCTCTCTGCTTACAACCCTATCTGCTACCACTATGTAAGCCTCTGCCTCTCACCCAAGACTTATGCAAAACACTCCGTAACTTGTTTCCTTGCTTCTCCCTCCCATCCTATGGAGCCCAATCAAGTCCTCTCCATCCTTAAAACCCAGCAGTGAGCTCCAGCTTCCTTCTCCAGCTCATTCTGGGCCCCTCCCCGCCAACCCAGACCGCACACACATAACCACACTGCTCTCCCTTGTCCTCTTCCTGTATTTCCTTCATTTTCAGATGAATTGTTCCAGACAACCTCTGAAGGTCATTCTTGACTAGTCTGTCTCAAATAGTTTTCAAGTAATTTAAAAAAAAATCAAACTAGTCCTACCCTGTTCCTCTGTCTTAATCCTCTCTTTATCTGTCTTGTTCATCAGGGTACCCAGAACAGCTCTTGGCCTATGGTAGACTGATAAATAGTTTGTTGACTGACTGACTGAAAGGGGAAGCAGACTCTAAGACTTACTATCTTGTTTTGAAGATGAAAGTTATGAACCATATAGCCTTTGAAACTGTTCCCTCTACTTGTGTGATGACTACCAACTTACCTTTTAACCATTTTTTTTAAGAGAGAAATGCTTGACTCATTATCTTTTATGAGGAAGCAAGTTACTGTTGCATAAAAGCTCATTTCCCACTGTTTAACTTATTTCACAACGTGGAACATACAATTTTATCTAAGTATCAAGGACAGTCTTTAAGCAAAGAACAGACACAGTAGCATGGAAATAAAGTTGGATAAAAATTGACAGGTCATCCATCGTATACAATCCTTTGTAAAATACAAAAACTAAAGTATTTTTGGTACATTTTCTCACGAACCTCTCCATTGTATGACTGTTTGGTAGGAGTGGGCACTGGAGGGCCTTTCTCTCCAGAAATTGATGTTCGCTCAGTTTTGCTTCTGACCCTATTGATTGGCTCACCCTATTGAGTCTGTTCCGACCTGAAGGTCACAGATTTCTCAACTATCTGGGCTTGGCCAGACAGACCATACTAGTGCATGACTGAAATGAAACGGCATGGCCCACACTAGCTTAGGACAATAAGTCCCACGAGAAGAGTCTGAATGGCAGGTTTAGTTTTCTTGTCAGTTAGAACCAAGCAAAGGTGAGTGAACTGTACATTCCAACAAGGTAGATGCTGTAGCTTATCATTGCGGGGTGTGTGTGTGTGTGTGTGTGTGTGTGTGTGTGTCTAGAAGGAGTCACCTAGGTGTGCCTCTGTGGATTGCAGATTGTTTTGAACTAAAGGCAACTTTAGCCACAGGCTCAGGAGAAACTTCCATCCCCCACCCTTAATTGATTGGAAGAATTTGAATTAGAGGTCTTTCTCATAAGAGATTATCAGCCATGACCTTCTTCACCCTTCTATATGACAGGACAAACTTCTGTTTCCTAAAGGTATGCTCTTCTTTCCATCCTGCAATGACCTCTGAAGTCCCCAACACATCTTACCTCTCGGTTTACAGTTGTGAGTAGGTGGAACAGAGTTTAATCTTATATTATTATTTCTTTATTTATTTCCCATATGAGCAACTGTAACCTACCTTTGCCCACCCTGTATACCCATGTTACCTTTTCATCTCAAACCTTTCCTGCATGTGAGTCTCTGACTCTCTCATATATTTGCGGGGTTCCCATACATATGTATGTAT